CCTTTTTTTTTAAAATATGTATTTTTCTTTAAAACAAATTACCTTCAATCGCCACTCCCATTGCTCCCTTTCGCCAAACCCCTTTTCCCTCTTTTTTTCTGTAGCCGGAATTGTTCCCCTTTCCTTATCAACCTCAAAACGTGACATTAATTACGAACTTTGCGGACTTGTGCAGAGTTAGATTCCATTCCTAGTGGAACCAGTTTTTTTAATAGTTTTTTTTTTTAATTAATTTTTTGTACACCGGATGTTTGCACAAGAATTAATAGTTCCGAAAATGATGAGTTGGTAAAAATGTACCTTTACCAAAATGGAAATGTGAGAGGGTCGTCACAATTTGCACTGTTGCAGCTAACTGCTTTGTACTGATTATTTTTAAAAACCTGCCTGTCAAGGCCAACCGAATAGAAAACAGGGACAAGAATTAATTGTCTATACTCGAATCAAATTCGTATCTTCAAAAGTTAATGGGGAAGAGCCTAACTATTATATACGCGCCGAGTGAGTGAGTGAGTTAGTGGATGAGAGTGTTTGTAAATGAGTGATGGCGTAAAAAAAAATCTGGGGGAGTGAGGGGGATGAATGAGTGAGAAATTTGAAGAAGATAGTAAATCAGATCGTAAGTGAGTGAGTAGGCTAAAAGAACAGAGGATGGAGAGTGAGAAAGAGAGAGAGAGAGAGAGAGAGAGAGAGAGAGAGAGAGAGAGAGAGAGAGAGAGAGAGAGAGGTGATTACATGATCACCAGTGGAACTATGCTTCTTCGTACAATTGAACGCGCATTGAGCACTTTTCTAGTGGAAATACGCTCAGGTACATCATCATATCAATAAAAGTTTGATTCTCTGCCCCAAACCGATTAAGTAGATCCGACTAATCGGACAAGTGTGCGCCCCACTTCAAACAGTCCCGCTCCCTGCGATACTCCGGTCCTGCCGCGTCGCACCTCTGAATGACCCCATCTATCACAGAAGGATTTACTCCGCCACTTACTGAAACTACCACAATAAATAACATCTAAGAACCAAAACAAACTAAGCTCGCTTTCCTCTAATTCTTTTTCTTTTCTTTGAGCCTTTTTGGCTCGCAGACGCATTCTAGCAACAGTGATGGCTATTTTATCCTGCAACAGTGATGGCTATTTTATCCTGCAACAGTGATGGCTATTTTATCCTGCGAGGGTAAAAGAGGAAGAGGGGGAGGAGGAAATTATGTGGACATGTGCGGTCTTATACGATCTCTCTCTCTCTCTCTC